CAGCAGGACAAAGCAACATCTTTTTTCCTGAGAGATGATTTTGAGGAAAACTTCCTCATATTTGAGCATACGCTACTATTAAAATGTGACCATACATCACTGAATGGAAGACAAAAATCTTGAAGATAACATGTTATAATTTAAGTACATACCCAGTAAGTCAATCTAATTAAGATGATTATGTTAGCATTATTTGGAAAAGCTGATAAAAATTTTGTAGGCATAAGTCTCTGAGATACTACTACCAATATATAAACAGTTACTGTTTTTATTATTTCGATATTTATTGTCAAAAATATTTAATGTCAAAATTTTTAAATAAAATATTGTCAAATATTTTAATTATTTTTAACTTTGCAGGTCTATTTTTATTCTTTATCAGTATTTACTAGTAAGCAGAAGCTAGAGGCAAAGCATAAAAAAAAGCTTGTGAATTTACCCACAGAATTATGGAATAAAATATTTGTTGTAGTACTGTCTATATTTTTATCAAAAACTTAAAAGCTGTCACCTGATAAAAGTACTTTTTTATTAGCACCTTAAAAATGTTACATAAAAAGGGACAATCTGTCATGATATACTTTTTAAAGATGTTAGAGAATAAATTAGCAGAAAGAATTCACATCTGTATTATATCAGATGTTGAGGTTAGAACTGTTTTGTCACGGCAGCAAAATGGCAGAAGTCATAAAAGAAGATGAAGTTAATAAAGAACATTTTCAGAAGGGTCAAATGGCAAAGAGTAAGAGCTCGCTGAGAAAAGGAAAAAAGCAATAAGAGTCTATGGAAAATCCAGGGCTTACATATAATTGACTGGTTTAAACATGAATGAAAAAATGATCTAGATATTTAGATGTGAGAGTAAAGAATTTAGGGAAATAACTGAAGGTGTATGTGGGAACTTCACATATTAAAAATGCATAAAGCTATTATCCATTATAAAAACAAACTAAATTGTACTAACCAATTTAGAAAAGTTAATTTCTCAAAATAATAATGAATAATTTCACATATACCTCTGCTTAGGTTTCAAAGAGACTAAATGCATTTTTGTACCTTCAAATGATCCAGCAAAGTCAAAATCATTTACACCTTTCCTCTTGCTTCTCTTAGTATTGACTTTGGAGCTGACATCATCATTAAGTTCTATTTCAAAAAAAAAAAAAAAAAAAAAAAAAAAAAAAAAAAAAAAAAAAAAAAAAAAAAAAAAAAAAAAAAAAAAAAAAAAGCTATTAACTAATTTAAAAACAATAGGACTCTATAGGGTTATGATGAATATTAATTTTTAGAAACTAATTACTATTCTAACGTTAAAAAAAAAGGCAACATAACAGCTCAACAGGTATTGCACAGGCAGCCAACCCTTCAGTTCCAAACAAGGAAAAGGTCCTGTTTAAATTTCTGGTTTATCTGAATATTAATTTGAATACAGATAATATTAAAAAACCTTCAACAGAAAAACTAGCCTAAGCTGAAGAATAAAGGAAGATATAGTTTTTGTCTGATTTTAAAAAAGCATACCTTGAATGCCTTCATTTTCATCATCCAAGATATCCATGAACGTTCCCCCATCTTCATCAATTTCAGCAAATTCTTCATTCATACTTCCTAAAGAAACTTCATCATCATCCAAGTTATCAAGATCATCCTCACTACCTTCTGAGTCTTCATCTTCTACGTTACTCTTCTTCGCTCCTTTTGTTTTCTTTTTCACGTTGCTGAAGAAAAACAAGAACTTTTAAAAGAGGACACTGTTTTCTAAAATGTGATTAGGTGACTACCAGGGTATTAGGCTATTAACAGATTTAAAAAGAGAGTTACAGAGGGCTCAGATACACTACTGTGAATTTTAAGGGTCCAAAAGGAAAGTATATAACCATTTCCCAAGCTTATTTGATACCTTTCTCCTATACATCACATAGCTCTGTGCTCTACTGTTCTGGGGACAATAATTTGGGAAGTTCTAGGCAAAAGGATTAAAAAAAAGATTGAAGGAAAGTATTTTACCCAGCAAAATCAAGGTCATCCTTTCCAGAGGTGAAACAGTTATCATCTTCAAATGTGTCTGCCAGAGAACAATATACAAATTGTGATATAGCAGAGAATAACAAAGTTGACATTTTCTTATATCTGAATCAATTAACAAGGTCATGATGCTGCTATTTATGATAAACACCAAAATGATACAAATCTAACTATTGCTGGTATATTAATCTACACAAACCTGCAAATATACTAACCTTAATTAAAATTCCTAAACTAAAATGGGTCCCAGTTAATTTCAGCTTCTTTCTATAGTTCTTTAAACAGTGGGTAAATATCAAATAAAATGATCTTTAGCAATTGCAGTCTTTTTTACTTTATTAGCACTATTTAAATGCTTACTTTTAGCACTTATAATACAATATACGACAAAAGAACTCAATGTAAGCCTTTCTAATTTCTCATGTTTTTTGTTTCAGTCTAAATTTCAGTTAAAATTTTTCTAGCTCTGTGAATTCTAAAGATAAAATAGATAAAATAATAGTCTGTTGTTACCAATAGTGCAAGATTAGGAACAGTAAAAATAGTTTACCTAAGACAGTTGACCTTAAGAATGAATCTCATATACTGTCAAAGCACAATCACATTTTTCTGGAGCAAATGTGTGTGAATTACCATATGCCACCAAAATATCTTTAATCCTCCATTGTGATTTGCATGATATTCTTAGCGAAATTATTTTTTAAACTAAGGTCACATCTACTACTAATTTTCCATGGTTTTATAAATAAATAGTAATAAATTATTTACAAATTGAAGAGTCAACAAATTACCAATCATCTTTTCAAATTCCTCATCATCTACATCTTCTATACTTTCTTCATCTGCATTCCGTTTTTGTTTCTCTTTAACAATAGCAACTTTTTTGTAATACCTAAAATAAAATTCATGTTATATATTTGATAATTTTACTAAAGGGTCCATTTTACTATAATCAAAGTACTTATAACCAGTAACCCAAACAAGTGTTAAAGCTATTAACTTAGTTGGATATAAATGACTAAGATTTGTATTTATTAAATAAAAGTTTTGAATTCTACAAAATAGTTGAAAATGTCTTAAATATGAAGTATAATGAATTTCACATATTTCGGTTTAGTCCTTCATAAAAACTTTTCAACTCATCTTAATTAAATGGCATAGTATTAAGCTGTTTTGGCATCAACACCAATAATAAAAGTATTAGATTATAAAATGTGGCTCTAAATGACCTCTTCACAATATTTTATCAGTGAAACCTACTCTCATATTAGGGTACAGTGAAACTTAGCATTTTGTAGATGAGATCAGAATTCTTCACACAAAATGTTTTTAAAAAGCAAACCAAATCAAGCCAAATTAACCAATCAGATAACAGTTACTTTAGTAATATAAGGCATTTAGTAGTAATATCAGTAGGTTTAGGACTTATCTCTATAAACGCAAAACCCCCAAATTCTACTTAGGTATCTAATACTAGCAAAAAGACTGATTTATAAAATATCTTCATGAAAGTAGATACTGACATATCCTTCAATCTTTTCAAGACAGGCCTATGTTAAGAAGGCATTTTACGGAATCTAAAAATTTTAATTTTAACAGTTCCCCAAATGAAACTACATTAAGTATATTACCTATAGAAAAACACTTCATCCACTGGTATTTGGCTTTCTTCTTTTGCAAGGAACTCTTTACTGTTCACTAGGAAAATTAAGTTAAACATTTTAATTTATTAATTTTTTTTATGTTATTCAAGCTCTTAAGACTAAATATAGCATACCTACAATTCTAACGTCTCACAATGTCAGGAAGGTAGACAAAAGGGATCTTACAGTGCAAAAAAAAAATCTCTGGAAGAGTCTGTGGAGGAAACCCAACATTTGAAACTGTTCATCGGCTACAATGAAAAGTAAGGCAATACGTAGCCAACAGTGCATCACAGAAAAAAACCCAGGGTTCTCTCATTGTCCTCCAACTGCATCCAAGATACAAATTTCAAGAGACATAAAAATTCGAAGAGTTCTCTTAATAATAAATTTAAACTTGCCATTTTCATCTCAATTAAACAATAATGCCTGCCATTCTACGAATAGTAAGTAAGGGTAAACAAGAGAATTATCTACAATTTTACTAATACTGAGGAAAACTAAGAAATAAAAATAGGGAACTACAGAATATTCGTTTTCCTTCAGAATAAAAATTTCTGACCTCGATTAAAAAGGGAATTTGGCTTCTAATTCTAACTCTATTAACTTTGGGCAAGTCCTTTTACACCTCTGGACCTCTGTGAAATTAAGTCAGTTGGAAATGAAATGATTTATAAGGTATATTTTAATAAAAATTTGTTTCTGAACAAAAAGGAGTTGGAATCTGGTATGCAAAGAAATGTCTGCTCTGAACAGAAAAACAAGAGAATCAGATCTACAAGATAGGTAAATACCCATAGACATAGACGGTTATCAACTAAGTTAACATGATGCTCTGTGACAAAACCTATTGTGGGTTTCCTGCTAAACCGTATTAGAGATCTTATGATGATCCAAACTGTAAAAGATAATAATTATGTGTTTTTGGGGGAGGGTCACTGATAAAGCTACAGATGGTACAAGAATGGCAAAATGTGGATAACCGTTGAAGCTGAGTGATGGTTGGGGGTGGGGCTTCATCATACTATTTATTTACTTAGGATATATTTGAACTTTTCTGTGATAAAGTTAAAAAAAAAAAAGGCCCAGTCAGATACAGTAGACTTGAAAATGCATACACAGTCTTGGGAACAAAAGATGGACAATGTTTCTGGTACTTAGGTTTTATTCTAATAAAGTGGAGCAAAGAATAACACCATTTAAGTGTTAATGACTTCTACTGTCTTGTAAGTTTCAACTGTCCAGGCTTTTATAAATTATAAAACATTGATAATTTATAAATTATAAAGTATTTTATAACTACTTACCAGCAAGACTACGAATATCCTTTATAAAATGTTTTCTTTTTGGCTGCATTACAACACTGTCTGTGTTTTCTGAAATGTAAAATCAAGACAGTGGAATGTAAAACTTAGTTATATGCTTATATAGTTTATTAAATATCAACAATGAAAACCGAATAATTCAACAGAAGCATACCTTTGCCTTTATGTGGCTTTGGATTTCGGTACACAAATCGATCCAAGAATCTCATTAGTGTAAAATCCTGCAGTGGGTCCCCTGAATACTGAATATAATTTCCCTGAAAGGTGGGGAGAATTTAGAACTTAAATTACACACACACACACGTAGGGGAACATATACGCCTCTATTATACCGCATAGAAGGCACAAATTTGCAATAATGACTTTTCAAATATCCCTCTCATGCTCATTATTCTTTACTTGAAGAAATTAAACACACACTCATACATTCATACATATGAAAATATTCTATGATGCACTGCTTTTATGAATAGGTAAGTAATATTAATATTGTAGGTCACCTAACCACTAATCAGTAACTAACCAAGAAGTGGCAAACACAGCAGACAGGAAAGGGGAGGTGATCTTTCTCCAGGAGAAAAGCCAGAATATAATAAGTGTAGTTTTCTAATCCTGTATTTCCATTCATCTCAGAGTGGGAAGATTTAATTGCTGCTCTGTATTAAGCCATTGCTCCTTTACGACAGCAGAAAAATTGTATATGATCTTATCTGGCAGAGAAAGATTGTATGCCCAATTATTGATTATCAAAAACTAGAATACTTATTTTTTCTTATAGCTTGTCTTTTGGGTATTTTAGACTTACCTGAAGGATAGTCTTTGCAAAAAGAGCCACAGAGGGATGAAAATGCTCCGATAGCTAAAAAAAAAAAAAAAAAAACAAACCAAAAACACGAATAAGGTCAACTCTTAATTACAATTACAGATTATTTAAGAAAATCCAAAGAATTGAAACTTAAGCCAACATATTAAAAGAGTGATTCTCAATTTCTGGTCTCCAGACCACTTAATATACTTAAAAATCAAGGACCTTAAAAAGCTTTATTAATTTAAGTGGGATATTCTATTGATATTTACCTTAATAGAAATTACAACAGAATCATTTTAAACATTTATAGTTTACTTAAAATAACAATAAACCTATTACATATTAATATGTTTTATGAATAATAAGCTACTGTTAAGAATATTGAGAAATGCAGCATTATTTCACAGTTTTACAAATCTATTTAACATTATTTTAGTTGAAGTATATGGAGAAAATCTGGCCTCGTACAGATACATAGTTGGAAAACGGAGTATTTATTAAACCTTTCACATAATTGTGAATTTTCTTCACGTTCAAGAAAATGTCTGAATACCCCAAATACCCCAGTATGAATAACCAGAGTCTGTTATTCAGCCTGTCCTTCACGAAAAACGTAGTTAATTGAGTTTCAAACAACTATATAAATACTTGTCCTTGAAAGATGAGACAACCTTCACATTTACTTATGCAGCAGAAGTGCGTTATGCATTCTTGCTATATATGTACACAGAATATTAAAAATAAATGTACTTTAAGTTCGAGATAATAAAATCAATAATTTTCCCTGCTTCATCATTCTTACATGATACTGCCTTTTTTAAAATGTGGCAGTAAAGAAATGTGGCAGCAACTGCAGCTTATTGTTGTCTTTATCATGCTTAAGCACTAACAGTTTCAGCTATCATTTCTTTTATACCATCTGTGCCACTGTCAATACAGTGACAAAGGTAAATACTGCCTTGGTATCACTATGAAAGCAGTTGCGACCTTGCAGACTTCGTGAAAAGGTGTTAGGGAACCCCAGGAGCCTTTTATACCCACACTTTGAGAATTGCTATATAGGAAGACAGTTATTTTCTTTACAGAAATTGCAGAAAGGTTATTAGAGATATGAGTTACTCTTATACAGTTAAAATATAACTTTTTTTGCAAAAAGTTCTATCACCACAAAACTTCAAGGATCTCTACTGCATAAATCAAAATTTACCAATTTTACGAAGCCATTGTCTTCAATAATCCACCTACAAAAAGCCAAACTTATTTATAGCCATGTACAACATCCTTATTTTGCATGTACATTATTTAAGATTTTGTACATGTGAATGCTGAAAAGTGTAAATGTGGAAATTTAATGTTTATCAGAGGCAACAGAAATATGGGTTAGAAAGCATTACAGCTGTGTGACATACTTCAAACTGCTTCCTTATGATTAATTCATGTCTAAATAATGGAACTCCTATATTATTTGCAAAAAAAGGAGAAACTTCAAGGAGCTAATAAATCCATGAGGAGAAATATAGAGCACAAATGAATTAAAGATAATTTAAAATTATTTTACCTTTTTGAGTTCCCAAAAACTTGTATTTTCAGCTCCACAGAACAAAGGATTTCTACTGAATGGATCATATGTGTTTGACTGTTTGCCACCTGAGAACAAAAACACATTTCTCAACTGCTTTATTCCTCGCCCAAAATGTCACTAAAGCCACCATCGTTCATGTTACCAATAGATATACTTTCCAACAATCTTAGTTAGCCAGGCATCCTACCTAGATTATAAACTCCAAGCCACTTCAAGAATTCATCTTGGCCCCAAGTTATCATTTGCTATTGAAAAAACCAGGTAGTATGCTTATTCCAAGTATTAAAAGCTCCCCTTTAAAACTTCTCCATTTTTCAAACAACAACAAAAGATACCAACTTCTGGGTCAATTAGGCTATAAGTTGGCAAATAACCAGAAGATGACATAGGTCTAAAGTTTTTTGGAATCTTTAAAGTGCTCTAAATATCTGTAAGTTATGTCCAGAAATAATTCTCACTTGAAACAGGCTTTACATTATCTTCATGTTTTCAGAAACTCAAGACTAAAAACTTTAAAACTAAGAATTTTCAGAACAATGTCCATGCTCATTATCCTTCTAAAGAATTATTCTCAGTTTAGTTTTAAGACAAAGGATGGATTTCTTTTAAAAACTTTCCCAATGGCTACCAGACTTCTCTTTTTATATTCCTACAAGTTTGAAGAAAGGGTTCTGGCACATTTCTTGATCCTCAAGTCTAGTGGTCTTTTCTTCACAACCTCAAATAAAGAGGCTGCATTTCTAAGATCTCTTTTGGCCCTAATAGTGTATAATGGACTTAATTCACTTGGGTGTGAATATGGAACACCTACTTTCTATCTCACAGATATTTTCAATACTAAAACATTAAGAAACTGTAGAGGGTGAATATGGTGCTCAAACAAAAGAACCAAAACTTACACACAATTCACAATATATAACCAAATACTTTTGTTTATAAACCAAATTTTCACATACACTCATTTTATATTTTCATATATGTTCCACATTTGAGGCTTTACATTTACAGAAAAAGGTCAAGAAATTAAAACTGGTTCAAAGGTATAAACTTTTGTATTTATAGCTAAAGGAAATGAGATTTATTGTGCATCTAAGATGTCTACAGATTTTTTCAGTAAATCTTCACAGCTCCAAAAGGTATTTGTTCTAATTTCCAAGATTTGTTGTTTTAAAATGTGTATTTATTATCTGTAGTATTGTTAGTAAATGATTCACTATATTAAAATTTTACTTCTAAGGTCCTAAATATATCTAGTTATGAGAGCTCCCATTTTTAAGAAAGCAATACCGAGGACTTCTAAAATGGTATAACATTAATTTTTATTAAGATCAAAGGGGCAACCAATTCCCTCATTTAAAAATTCAAGAGAATAATTTAAAGATTTTAAAAACTCACCTTTTAAATTATCAAAGTGTACCCAAGAAGCAGACTCTGATTTTTTGGCCTCCATATGATTTTCAGACACGGTTTCTTCTGTCTCAACTTTTTTCACAGTATTTGTTTCTGTTTCTTTATCTGCATCAGTGAATTTTTCTAGGTCTTCATCATCTTTTACATCAGTAAAAATTTCTTCATCATCAGACTCCTTAAAAAGTGGTGTAATGAATCTGAGTTAATCAACTAGAAGTCTGTATTCAATTAAGTGAGGTAGTTTTGAAGGAGATTTGCTTATTGCAATTCTGGCTAAACACTGAAGTTCCACCAGTGAAAATTAGAATGTGAGACTATATCCTCATATCTTAATGTAAGAGTTAAATTTTGAGACAAGAATCCTTGAGACTTTGGGACCTTATGACATGAAAACGTTCGGCCCTCAATTAATTTTTGACTTGTTATAAAATAACGCTACCAGGCAGGTGCTATTATGATGTCCATTTCACTACTGAGGAAACAGATTAAGAGATCTACTAGCTCTATAACCATCTGTAACTATCTCATATAACTGCAGCTTAGTGTACTGCAGTTTATTATGAGTAAAGGGGTCAAGCAACATGCCCACTCAGTAAAATGTACACCTAGGTTTGTCTGACTGCAGGACTCACACTCTTACATGCTCCAGACAACTAAGTTGTTGTCACTGAAGCAAAGAAGAAAAATAACAATATGTTTCAGAACCCACTCGATTTAAAAAGCAGTTGTAAAATATACCGGATGATCATCTAGTTGACTTCTTAAACCTGGTTTTGCTTTAAGGATCTCAGACACAAGATATAAAGCTCCACATATGAACGGTGGCATTTGTTGACAAGTAACTTGAAGTAACCTCTTCACAAAAGCCTTCACCCTGCGCAACACGATGTCAGCTTTCAGAGATTTGTAGACAAGGTTAAGAAACATGGCTTGCTTAGAACACACCATCAACCCTGGATCCAACATCTTCCTGTAAAACAAAAACAAGATCAAATGTTTATTCATAAAACATTTCCACAGTCTACGGCCATGCCACCTTGAAAATGCCCGATTTCATCTGATCTCGGAAGCTGAGCAGGGTTGGGCCTGGAGATCACCTAGGAAGACCAGGTGCTGCAGGCGTTTAAAAAAATACATTTCCACAACCAGCAGTCATGTATCAGAGACATCCTTCTATAAATGCTGTTCTCCTCCAATTGTCTGCATGTCCACAATATCTAAAATAGGTTCTTTCATTGTTCCCTGCATCAGTCCCATGTTTATATTCTTCATAGTTTAACATTTAACACACTTTGTTGCCTTTCTCTCCTTTCCCCCCAAAGTCCAATGGAACAGGGACTGTGTTTGGCAGTAAGTGCTTAATATTTATTGAATGAATAAATTGTTCATTCCATGGTATACAACATTTCCAGTGATTACAAACTGCTAACTCTCTCACTAGGAACCCAATCAAATTTTGGACAACTCATTTTATCAGAAAATCTCTTCTTTTCCCATAGCTGAAATCTGCTCCTGTGAAATTTCCTACCATTATTCTGCTACTGCCATCTGAAGCAACATAAAACAATCTAAACAGAAGCAACAAAAGCAAAATAAGTGGAACTACAACAAACTAAAAAGCTTTTGCACAGCAAAGGATACAATCAACAAAATAAAAAAGCAACCTACAGAATGGGAGTAAATATTTGCAAATGATTTATCTGATAAAAGGTTAATATAAAAAATATGAGGAACCTCAGAGTTCAATAGCAAAGAAAAAAAAATCAAAGACAAAAGGCCAACAAGTACATGAAAAGGTACTTAAAATCACTAATTATCAGGGACATGCAAATCAAAACCACTCCATACCTGTTAGGATGGCTATTATCAGCAAGAGATAAAAAACTTTGGTGAGGATGCAGAAAAAAACAGAACCCTCGTACACTATTGGTAGGGATATCGATTGGGACAGCCAGTTTGGAAAACAGTTTGGAAGGTCTTCAAAAAATTAAAAATAGAACTACCACACGATCCAGCAATCCCATTTCTGGATATATATCCGAAAGAAATGAAATCAGTATCTTGAAGAGATATCTGTGCTTCCATGTTTATGCATATTCATAATAGCCAAAGTATGCAAACAACCTAAGTGTCTGTGGACAGATAAATGGAGAAAGATATGGTATACACATACAATGGAATATTACTCAGCTGTGAGAAAGAAAGAAATCCTGCTATTTGCATCATGGATAAACCTGGAGGACGTTATGTCTAGTGAAGTAAGTCACACAGAGAAAGATAGCTATGACTTATGTGTGAAATGTAAAAAAAAAAATTCGAACTCATAGAAACAGAACAGATTGGTGGTTGGCAGGGGGTGGACGGAAATGGGGAGATGTTGGTCAAAGGGTACAAACTTTCAGTTAAACATTCTGAGGATCTAACGTACAGCATGGTGACTATAGTTAATACTGTACTGTATACTTGAAATTTGCTGAGAGTAGATCTTAAGCATTCTCATCACCAAAGGAAAAGAAAGTAGTAACTGTGAGGTGACGGATGTTTTAAGTTGATTATAGTAATCATTATAATGTATATAAAATCATCGAGTTTCACACTTTAAATACATACAGTTTTACTTGTCAATTACACCTCAATTAAGTTGGCAAGAAAATCACAACAAAAAAACATAATTTTGCTTTTACATGACAGCTTTTCAAAAACTTGACCCTATATAGCTACTATGTGTCTTCTCTCCCCAAAGCCTCTCTTCTGTAGGCTTTTTAACTATCTAATATAAGTTTTAAATTCTCTTTATCCTATGTGCTGAATCCTAGAGATGCTCCAACTGATCTGAACCTCCATACACAGGACACTCCGACTCAACAGTCCTCCAGAAATGCTCATGTGGAATCATTACTTCTTGTTCTAAGTGCTTCTGTTAACTTTTCCCCACTAATACTAGAAATGGAAATAATTAACCTTGTGAAGTATTCTCACACTGCTATGCAAATTTCCATTTCAGTTCCATAATAGAAATAGTTCTATTATCTACTGGTGATATTATGAGATACTCTATATTATTAAATCTTTGATATTCAATTTTCTCTCTTCACATTAAAAGTTTTCAACATTTTCATCCATTTTGCAACTCATATTTAATAAGTTCCATTACACATCAACAGAAATTTTTGAAAATTTAGATAGGTGTATCGCCACTGTTTGACAGAGAATGTTCCTGAAGTTTTTGATAAATCGCATTTCTGTAAACCAAATCACTTCTTGGACGTGGTTCCATAGTGTAGTGGTTAGGACATCTGCTTTACATGCAGAAGGTCCTGGATTTGCACCCCAGTGGAGCAACGGTTCATGGTCTACGCTCAGGCCACCCTGAACAAGCCCAATGTCTGATCTCGGAAGCTAAGCAGGGTCGGGCCTACTTAGTATTTGGATGGGAGACCACCTAGGAAGAGCAGGTGCTGTAGGCATAAATAATAATAATAATAATAATAAAAATAATAAAAAAACCAAATCATTTCTTAATTTCTTTTATCTCTCAACTGATATTAGGAAATTTTTTATTTAAAGAATTCTTAATAAAACCAAGAGGAAATAAATACTTTAGAAGGTTTAAAAGCCTCTGAGAAAAATCCATCTGTGAGATCTCTTGGCAAGCAGTAGAATGTACTCCTCAGAGATGTGAGACTGTTATGTTAAACACTGAGATGTTAAACGGATATTACAAAAATGTTTTCCAATAAAGTAAACATTTTCTTAAAAATCAGAAGTTCTTGTGACCCTTAAAAGTTACCAAAAAACCCAAGACCCTGAAAACTCCACATTTTTAGCCTTGTAATCTTCCCAAACCAAAAAAGTTATTACTTGAAAAAGCTGTAGACGCTTAAGAGTTATGGAAAGGCATCTGAGATTGTTTTTAGTGGACCACTGCAATCAGAGCTATGAAACATCCTAGTTTGATCTTGTTTGTGTGATTTTGCACAAATCACTGAACCTCACAGACTGGAGAGCTGTTAAAAAGGATTAAACAAAAGAAATGCAAATGGGTAATATCAATAGCAGCCAATACTTACAGAGCACTTACTGTGTCAGGTACTGTTAAGCACTTTACACATGAAGATTACATGAGTTAACATATATTAACTCATTAATCTTATCGAAGTCCCAGTTCTGTCATTTTCTAGCTGTGTAACCATAGCAAAGTTTCATAGTCTTCATAACAACCCTACAGGATTGGTACTTTTTCTCCATTTTATAGATAAACTGTGGCAAAGTAAAATGGGATCAATCATATTTACAAGCAAAGCTGTCATGAGGATTAAGTAATTTGTTACACAGCAAACGAAATGCTAGGACTCAAATCCAGACAGTGTGGCTTAAATTCAAGAGATAACCGCTACACATATGAAATTATAAAAACGAATTAGAAGGAAATGCATTGCTTGTTGGTATACTTAAAACAGTTGCAAAGTGTTTCCACACTGTTTGAAATATCATCCCTCAAAATCCAGAAAATTAGAAAATCCAGTTTCTAAGTCTTTCTCTTGTCTCACAAGTGGCACTGCATGTTATAAAATTACATTACTCCTCACATTCGCATATTAGAAGGGTATGTACTTACCTGTATAATGCTGCATAATATCGATTTGATATTGTCTGCTGAGAATTCATTACTTGGAAAAGTAACATTAAAGCCTGAACACTGGTATTAAAATTCACAATATGCAATACTTTAAACAATGTATCAACCTGCTCCCTCACTTTGTCATCACCAGTGTGGGCATAAGGGTATGCCCTATTCACCCCTGTTAAAAGGGCACTAAGCATTTTTGATTCAATATCTTTTTTCTTGATACAAGTCCGAAAAAAACAAAAATAAAGAGTTATTAATTTGTTAGCCAATTCACTTTCTTCATGAGAGAGGACCATCTGATTTAAAAAGCAAATTGCATAATATTGCGCTTTGGAGCTGATATTTGAGCGAAAGAGCAGCCTTTCTACTTCACCACATACGATGCCTTTCATATTGGGATGTTTACAAAGTAATGTCTCTAATAGATGGGAGGCTTTTGTGGCTATTCTGTTCTGAGGATCTCCCAGTTTATTTACCACTTGTACAAGAAGAGCCTTTTCTTCTTCAGGTTTGTTACAAAGAAGCTCATGAGCTACTGTAAGGGCTCGAGTTTTGGTGGCTACTAATGAATCATGACTTAAAGTTTCTAAGACTTGCACAAATTCAGCCACTAAGTGTTTCAGCTGGTGTTCAAAATACCATAATATCAGCCTTCTATCTCTTGAATCCCTGTTGCCACTGGACAACTGCTCTAGTTTATTGAAAGGATGCTGGCTGAAAATCCGTAGCTTCCGACTATTTGGCAAAAGGTCTGTAATAAGTAACTCCTTGAAAGTATCCAAAGCCATGAGGCACTGCTGTTTGCTGCCCTTCTTTTTAACAAGGTTTACAAGAGTTTCTATAAACTGGAGTGCATGAATAGCATCATCCTGAATAAGAAGAATCATGGCTGCCATCCTGTCACCTAGTGTCCCTGATGACACAATCGCCTTCATCCAGGCAGAAGAGGCTCCCTTTTGATTATTTGTCTTATTTTTGAATAAGTTGATTTCATGCTCATACAACTTCTGAGCCAAGGTTTTGTACTTAGACACAACATCCCGAGGCTGGGGTTCCAAAGAACATTCATTGCTATATTCCATATCATACCATTTGCCTCCAGGCTTCAGTAACAATGTCTGTCTTTCAATAAACTCAAAGATGTCCTGTTGTTTATCTTTCTTTACTTTTGGTATGGCACTGTTGTTCTCATTAGAATGTTGTTCTACTCTCTTCTTATTTTTCACCTTCTTGACTGACGTCTTTTCACTTTCTGCCACATTTTGCTTTATATTATCTAATTTAGATACACTTGTTTTTTTTTTGCTGGCATCTTCTTTATTGGTTGGTTCATCTTCTTCGACTAAGAAAGTTTTCCCGTACTTGGCCAAACTAAGATTCTGAATAAATGCTTCCAGTTCACCTTGTTGCAGGTCATCAATTGCTCCTTTTTTGCCTCCATCCACAACCTCTTCATTCTCATCCAAAGCAGCCAGCATAAGATAATCTTGCTGCATAAAAACATAAGAAAGTTAAAAAAAAAAAATTACAAATCCAACAGTTTAGTAAAACTTCAAAAGTTAATGTGAAATCTTTATCTTTGAAATCAATTAAATTGAGTTATCATGGTATTGCCTGGGCTCCCACCTTACACCAAAATAAATATTTGATGGATCAAAGATTTAAGTGTGAAAAATAAAATCGTAAAATAATAGGAGAAATCACAAAATAATTAAAAAAAAAAATAATTTCAAAGTAGAGAAAACCTTTCCAAATTTGACATAAAACTTAGGGCCCATAAAGGAAAGGTAGAGCAAATTTATCACTCTCTTATACATAAAACATACAAAAATGAAAAGACAATAAACTGGAAAAAAATACTGGCAACTCATGTAAAAGTAATTGTGCTTAATAATTAACATAAAAGTTCCTACACATCAGTTAAGGAAATGACAAACAATCCAACAGAAATATGTGCAAAGGATGTAAACAAACAGTTCATAGAGAAAAAGTCATTCTTCAAAAATATGAAGATGCTCAATCTCAATGACATTGAGAAATCCAAATTAAAACCACAATGATACATCTAGTTTTTAATCTGTCAGATGAGCAAAGATAAGTTATTACAGATGGTGTTGGGGAGGAGTTGGGGGGAAAAGGCGCTTTCATACATGACTGATGGGAATGTAAACTGGCACATCTCTATGGAGGGCAATCTGCCAACTTCCAACAAAATATGTGTCAGATGCACATTCTTTGACCCAGAAGTTACACTTTTACAAATTAAGATTATACATACACTTACAAATGTGGAAAAAGATATACAGTCAAGGTTATATACTGAAACATTATTTAAAATAGCAAAAGATAACTTAAAAACCCACAATAAATGGCTGATAAAAAATTAAGATAGACACAATGATTTATGCAGACATTAAACCAATGACAGAACTTTACATCCTGACATGGAAGGATCTCCAGGGCAGTAAGAAAAAAAGGATGCAAAAAATATATATAGACAGCACCTTTTGTGTTAAAAATAACATATGTCTCTGTATATGTCTCTTGGAAGATATAAAAAAAGACTTATAAAAATGGGGAAAAAGACTTTTCACCATGTACTCTCCTTTAAAAAAAAAACCCTTCTTGTAGCATGTGGATATATTACATATTTAAAAATTAAATATAACCCAAGTATAGAGCAAACTGTGAATCTGCCTCTATGCCTACCTCCCCCAAAAGTCTAGTCTCAAAATAATATTTAGTAATAATAAAGTCAAATTACATCACGTATTTGCTCCTTATCTTCTAATGGCTTGGTCAAACTCGGAGCAAAAGCCCACCCTCCTACCTCATTTCTTACTGTTCTCCCCTTACCTCAGTCTACCTCAGCTACTGACATTTTTGTTATTCACGGAACAACATGGCTCAGTCCTCTTTCCTTTTTTCTTTTTTCGCGCAAACATTTCAGTGATGGGTTCTCCAATCACCTCATTTAAAACTGTGAACTCCTTATTCTCTTTCCTTGTTATATTTTTCTTCATCGCACTTTTCAGCGTCTGACATATTATGTTTACTGACTGCTTCTTTCCATCAATTAGAATGTAAATTCCAAGAGAGCAAAGCACTTCTAGAGCGAACAGTGAGCATGTGCGTGTACTGAGAAGTTAAAATCTCAACACCATGGGAGTTTAAACACCGATGCCACTAAGTCAAGACCAAAAAGTCACTCCTCTCCGAATGATGGAGTGAGTGCCAGGAGTGTTACGTCAATAAAAGGAAAGGATCGCCTACATTCTAAGAAAGGCCACAGCATAAAAACATTCAAGTCTAAATGACTTTTCTCTTGTAAAGAGTAGTGGAAAAGAAGTGCGGGAAGCGCACAGAGCACACTTCGAAACTGGGAACTGGGACCAGGACGCTCTACCGCTCCGCAGCTCCGGGGCGGCGGGTCCATTTAACCCGCCGCGCGCGGGGCCATTGCCAGTGCCTCTGTCCCCCTTCACTGTGAGTCCAAGGCCATTACCTTGGTGCCTCCGAGCCGTAACACTTCCTCCAGGGAGAAACCATTCTCGGCTTCATCGTTATCATCCTCGTCGTCCTCGTCCGGATCTTCTATCCCCTCCTCGGGACCCCAGGGCCGCTTGGCATGGAACTCCAAAGTTGTCTGTGCGGCCGCCATGGTTAGAAAAGCACGCGGGAACGACCTGCAAGTTCCTTCCGCTCGGCCGGGTGACGTAAGCCCCGCGGGGGCGTGTCTTCTCCCGGAAATGGTTGCAATCCCTACCTCCGGGCTCCGCGCTGCAGCGTGGGAAATTCGGTATGAGAGTCCTAGCTAAGGTCGGTGCCCGGCAGCTGAGCGCCGCGGCACGTGCGGGTAAGCGTTCTTCACCCGCAACCCCAGGCCACGTTGCCGTGGAAACAGCGTGGGGCGCCTTTCTCACTTGGGGGCATCTGGGGAGCTCTGAGCAGGACAGTAGTCCACCTCAGACAGAAAGAGGTCGTGGGCCAAGTGCACGCCTGCTTGCGTCTTTTATGGGTTCTGCGGGCCAGAGTCCGCTTTCCCGATTTCGGGTGAGGTTAAGGGTTAACGAAGCCGCTTTAAAAGTGCTCAGACTGCTTTGCACGTGTAAATACTACAGTTTTTAATAGGTCTTGTTTAATGTGTGTTTTTCGCAGTCATTCCCTGCCTATGGAGAGGGAAATACTTCAGCTCCGGGAAAGACCCGGTAGAAAACAACCCGGTGACTCCAATGCTGCGGCATCTTACGTACAAAATCAAGTCTACGGGCCCCATCACTGTGGCCGAGTACATGAAGGAGGTCTTGACCAACCCTGCCAAGGTATGGGTCGGGGAGCCAGAGGGCCAGGCTCACTCTAGCAGATTTGCGAAGACTGAGTCTGGAGGGGTGCACCTAGAGAGGAGCCAGAGCGTCTTCAGTCCAGATAGTCGGTTGGTTGCAGGGGAAGAACCACCCCGAAGGCCTGGGGACGGATGAGTTAACCTGTCAGGGCTGGATCAAGTCAGCCGCAGTGCCATTAAGATGAAGATAACAAATTCCAAAGGTGTTCAGGAGACTGTAACCAGTTGGATTTGTGAGATGACTATGGTAGATGGTGGAGTCATTTCTCTGGGAGAAGGGAACGGGGGATGTGGAAGAGCAGTAGCTGTTTTAGGAGAAAGGGGAAGGATAAAGAGTTCAGTCTGATATATGAATTTAAAGTTTATGCAGGTCTCTTAAGTGGAAATCTCCAATAGGCGACTAGAAATAGGAGTTTGGTGCCTGGAAAGTAGTCTGTGTGGGGAGGGTTCACACGCATTGGAAACATTCTGGGTTTTTTTCTTGAGAATGGAAGGTCTGTGTCTTTACTGTTCTAGGATTAAACATTGTCACAACTTTCTGACTTGTATTTCCTTGTCTGCTCCACAAGGCCAATGGTGAAAGCCTGTAGTCCTTTTATTTTAGAATGTTTAACCTTTTGCTGGGTTGAAATATGAGATCTGTGGAATTCTGAGGTTGGTTCGGCCTATTGCTGTTGGATATGGTGGAGTGGTCCAGTGTCCAGAGGTTTAGAAAAGGCAGTTATTATCGTTAACTTCTAACTGAAATTTACCGTTTCTCTAACTATGAACATCGGCAACAACTGGTAGCATCAGCAATACCTGTGACTTTAGATAGCATCAGTGGAAATTACTGAAATTGTCATATCACGACAGAGTGATTGATTACAGATACCGTTATGCTCATCTATGCTTCAGGACTTATTACAAGACCTTTGGCATGGTTTTGTTTTTTAATATAAAGAAGTATATGTATTACTGTATCACAAATTTATTTTTAAATATTTGATAATTATATTTTAATTGATTTGTAATCCTGCATTTTAAAAAATTTGTTTAAATTAGTTTCAAGTATACAGTACATTGGTTAGACATCTATATAGTTCATAAACGATCCCCCCAATTGCTCCCTCCCTGCCCTGACCCTCCACCTAGCCATCATATTAATGCTAACTACATTACCTCTGCCATGCTCCCCATCCCGTGACCATCTATCAACTACTAATTTATAAAACTTTAACCCTTCACCCCATTCTTCCAGCCCCCCAACCCTCCTCCCCTCTGTCCGTCACCAAATTGTCCACTATATTTTTGAGTCTGTTTTTGACTAGTTTGTTCTTTTTGTTCCTTGGATTCCACAAATAAGTGAAATCATATGGTATTTAGCTTTCTCTGACTTATTTCACTCAGCATAATAACCTCTGGGTCCATCCATGTCGTTGCAAATGGTAGGATTTCATTTTTTTTAATGGCTGAGTAATATTCCATTGTATATATGAGCCATAATTTCTTTATCCACTCATCTGTTGATGGGCACTTAGGTTGCTTCCATATCTTGGCTATTGTAAATTGTGCTGCCATGAATATTGGAGTGCATAGATCTTTACGAATTATTATTTTGGTTTTCTTTGGATAAATACTCAGAAGTGCAATTGCTGGGTCAAAAGGTATATCCATTTTAATTTTTTTTAGAAACCTCCATACTGTTTTCCATAGTGGCTGTACCAATTTCAATCCCACCAACAATGTTTGAGGGTTCCTTTTTCTCCGCATCCTCGCAAACATTGATTTATTGATGATAGCCATTCTGACAGGTGCAAGGTGGTATCTCACTGTGATTTTAATTTGCGTTTCTCTGATGATTAGCGACCTTGAGCATCTTTTCATATGTCTATATAATCCTGCATGTTTTAAGTCCTGTACATTTAAAAATATTCTATAAAGGAGTCCACAGGCTTCACTAGACTACTAGAGAGGTTCATAACACATACCAAAAACTTCCCTGAAATACTTAGTTATGAAGGGAAATAGAAAGGCTAGAGGGTTCCGGAATGCTGTGTGGAATGAAAAAAATTTTCAAAGATGGGAGTGACATTTCTAATGCTGAGAGGAAAAAGTTGAAACTGAAAAAAAGGAGATGATAAAAATATCTTGGCCCATGAGAGTTGGGTGAGGAACGGTGATCAGTCCAGAGCACAGGTAGAAGGATCAGGTTTAGATAAGAACAGAAGGGGTAGGCATTTTAGTTTCTGAGTCCTGAGGAAAGAATGAGAGCAGGTGGAGGCCTGGTGGGGTCGGGAAGCTGAGGAAGTCAAGTTTAATAACATTCTTTAATTCCTGTGTTAGGAGGAGCCCAGGTCACCTGGTAAGAGTAAGGTGGTAGAAGAAGGGGCATAAAGACAGTAGGGAATTTTTAAACAGATAATTCTCAAGTGTTTCTTGAAGGTTAGGCATTGTGCTAAAACTTGGGATATGAAGGTGAATAAGATAGTTCTCTGCCCCAGATAACTATGCCTACTGTTGAAGAACATAGTCATGTAAATGAATAAGCTCAGAAAAGGAAGCACTGGATTTAGTCTGAGGCAAAGGACTAGAGGAGGAGGTCAGCAGATTCAATAGATGAGAAATGGAAAAGAAGAACGGAGGATATTTGCAATGGCATAGATATGTGAACAAGAAGAGCTAATTTAAAAAAACTACTTATTGAACTATAACATTCATATAAAAAATGCATAAATCACATTTACAGTTTGATGAATTTTCAAAGTGAACACTCCATGTAACTAGCACCCAGGTGGAGAAACAACAACACTAACAGGCAAGGTCAATATGAAACAAAGTGAGAATTTGGAGGAGGGCGCTGGATGGGTATGAGGGTCTTACCGTGTTGGATTTTCGGAGTGGGGCGGTGGGCGCGTGTGGAATGTAGAGGCGGACACTGCATGGCCTCTGCTTTTAGAGTCAAGGAGTAATTGTTTTTCTATCAGTTCTGCAAAATGACTATTTGTAAATTTTAGGTAAAGATACTGTGTTTATCTTGCTTATCTAGAAGAGAGGACATTCTTATTACATAATTGTTTATTTCATTGTATACATCATGTAAGATTTTGGAGGGGTGTTTTTAAAAGCTTTATTTGAAAATTAATTTTTTTTTCTCCATTTTCTCTTTTTACTTAGGGATATTATGTGTACCGTGACATGCTAGGAGAAAAAGGAGATTTTATTACTTCACCTGAAATAAGTCAGATCTTTGGGGAGGTAATATCCAATGTAAACTATAAAAGAAACTAATATCACAAACATTTGAGAGCAGATCAAGATGTATCATTCTATAATAGGGTTTTACAGCTTTGTTTTTATGATTCATCAAAAATATTAATTTTTAGTAGTTTATGTACTCAGGGAATAGAGAGGCATATAAAGGACATCTGAAAAGTTTATACTTTACTGTAGAAAAGGAAATGCAGAGATAAGAGAGACAAAATGAAAGAGAAGGAAAAGGAATGGAAGTGAAGAGGTAAGTAAAGAGGAGAACCAGATGAAAGATGAGACTGAAAGAAGGAAGAGAGACAAAGGAAAGGCGACAAAAGAGGTTGAGAGTACCCCAGAAGAAAGAAGGATAAGAAAGAACACTGTGGAATTAGTGGAATCAAAATGAGCTCTAAAGTCCCCAACGATGATTTAGCCACAGTTGCAGTGGAAGTCTCCCTTTATGAAACAGTTCTTTTCAGGAATTCTAGTTCCATTTATTTTCATGTAAGAACCTTTGATCAGTTTAAAAATAAGAAATAGTATACAAGACAAAGTAGATTCCAGGTATTTAAAAGACATATTGCTTATGCCTAAAAGCTCTGTAATTATTGAAATCATGTAAGTACAAAGAAATAGCATAATTATATAATTATATTTTATATATCTATTTGCTTTCAAATACTAGCGCTTTTCTGTAAGTGATATTCTTTTATGTGTGTCATGGACTTTTTATAGTGGAGGCTGCCTTTTAACTATTTTCTCCTGTTATTAAGCTTCCTAACTGGTGTCTGTGTTGTAACATAGTCTCAGTGAAGTTCCTGTGTGTGCATACTATATGTGCATATTAAATACATATGGTTGTTTGCAAACATTTTGCTTTCTGGCATAGAGTATGTAGTTACATAGAGTTTTGTATTACAGTGTACTTTTTTACCTTATAATACTTGAATGTATTTTTTCCTTGTCACAGCTCCTAGGGATATGGTTTATCAGTGAATGGATGGCCACTGGAAAACCTGCAGCTTTCCAGCTGGTGGAACTGGGCCCAGGTAGGGGTACCCTCGCGGGAGATATTTTGAGGGTAGGTAATAGAGGAATGTCTTAAAGTCACATGCATACATAGCTGACT